ATGTGCAGTTTCATGTAGGATTTGTAGAGCAATTATACTTCGATGATCCAGTATCTGGAATTGTCTTTTGTGTATGCAATTGGTACATATGCGCCATCTCTTTTGTAATCCCTATACTTTTCCAAATTAAATTCTTGTAATAGTTGAACGAGTTCCAATGAGATGTAGCCACGTACGTAAATACATTCAAAAGAACCGTTTAATTTATGCACTTAATAGGCACGTACGACTCAATTTTGCTTAAAGTTCAGTTGAAAATGTGCAGTTTCATGTAGGATTTATAGAGCAATTATACTTCGATGATCCAGAATCTGGAATTATTGTCTTTTGTGTATGCAATTGGTACTTTTGCGCCATCTCTTTGGCAATCTCTATACTTTTCCAAATTAGATTCAACTAATAGTTGAACGAGTTACAATGAGATGTAGCCACGTACTTAAATACATTCAAAAGAACCGTTTAATTTATGCACTTAATAGGCACGTACGACTCAATTTTCCTTAAAGTTCAGTTGAAAATGTGCAGTTTCATGTAGGATTTGAAGATCAATTATACTTCGATGATCCAGAATCTGGAATTATTGTCTTTTGTGTATGCAATTAGTACTTTTGCGCCATCTCTTTGGCAATCGCTATACTTTTTCAAATTAAATTCAACTAATAGTTGAACGAGTTCCAATGAGATGTAGCCACGTACGTAAATACATTCAAAAGAACCGTTTAATTTATGCACGTAATAGGCACGTACGACTCAATTTTCCTTAAAGTTCAGTTGAAAATGTGCAGTTTCATGTAGGATTTGTAGAGCAATTATACTTCGATGATCCAGAATCTGGAATTATTGTCTTTTGTGTATGCAATTGGTACATTTCCGCCATCTCTTTGGTAATCCCTATACTTTTTCAAATTAAATTCTTGTAATAGTTGAACGAGTTCCAATGAGATGTAGCCACGTACGTAAATACATTCAAAAGAACCGTTTATTTTATGCACTTAATAGGCACGTACGACTCAATTTTCCTTAAAGTTCAGTTGAAAATGTGCAGTTTCATGTAGGATTTCTAGAGCAATTATACTTCGATGATCCAGAATCTGGAATTATTGTCTTTTGTGTATGCAATTAGTACTTTTGCGCCATCTCTTTGGCAATCGCTATACTTTTCCAAATTAGATTCAACTAATAGTTGAACGAGTTACAATGAGATGTAGCCACGTACGTAAATACATTCAAAAGAACCGTTTAATTTATGCACTTAATAGGCACGTACGACTCAATTTTCCTTAAAGTTCAGTTGAAAATGTGCAGTTTCATGTAGGATTTGAAGATCAATTATACTTCGATGATCCAGAATCTGGAATTATTGTCTTTTGTATATGCAATTGGTACTTTTGCGCCATCTCTTTGGCTATCCCTATACTTTTCCAAATTAAATTCTTGTAATAGTTGAACGAGTTCCAATGAGATGTAGCCACGTACGTAAATACATTCAAAAGAACCGTTTAATTTATGCACTAAATAGCCACATACGACTCAATTTTCCTTAAAGGGCAGTTGAAAATGTGCAATTTCATGTAGGATTTGTAGAGCAATTATACTTCGATGATCCAGAATCTGGAATTATTGTCTTTTGTGTATGCAATTGGTACTTTTGCGCCATCTCTTTGGCAATCTCTATACTTTTCCAAATTAGATTCAACTAATAGTTGAACGAGTTCCAATGAGATGTAGCCACGTACGTAAATACATTCAAAAGAACCGTTTAATTTATGCACTTAATAGGCACGACGACTCAATTTTCCTTAAAGTTCAGTTGAAAATGTGCAGTTTCATGTAGGATTTGAAGATCAATTATACTTCGATGATCCAGAATCTGGAATTATTGTCTTTTGTGTATGCAATTAGTACTTTTGCGCCATCTCTTTGGCAATCGCTATACTTTTTCAAATTAAATTCTTGTAATAGTTGAACGAGTTCCAATGAGATGTAGCCACGTACGTAAATACATTCAAAAGAACCGTTTAATTTATGCACTTAATAGCCACGTACGACTCAATT